ATGCGATTCATTGCTAACTTTCCTGAATATTTCCCAAAAGGCATTTGCAATAATAAATATGATACAATAGTTTGTCCTGTACTTATTGTGCATGGAGATAAGGTATGGCCTAATCAGTAAAATTTATTATAAAAATCTTTAAATAATAAAATATTTAAATATTTATTAAAAAGGATCCATTGGTACAAGTGGAACAACCCTTACATTTAATGGAGAAATTAAAAAATGCCAAGCTTAAAAGGTTGTATAAAATAAATCTAACATAAATCTAACAATTTGATTGTTGTTTATAAACTTTATTTGTAGGTTTCCAATGGGAGGTCATAACGTGCACTTTGTCTATAAGCAAGAATTCAAACAACTGGTCGAAGATTTTTTTCTCAAACAAAACTCAATAGAAAATTAAGTTTTGACCACAATTTGAATACAACAGAAATTATTATGAATTAAGTCTGTTTTGTCTTATTGTTACTATTGTCTGTAATTTAGAAAATGGGGACATTACTAGGACCATAATCATTTTTAGACCAAAATGTTATTGAATATTTGATTTGCAAATGTAACCCATTTCTAATTTGTATAAAATTTATTCACTGTTTATTAGTTATGCACTCAATAAATATGTTGTGCCGTATAACAAAAGTTAAACATTTTCCCTGTAATAACAACTACAGTATAAGTTTATTATAGATGCACTTACATGTAAGCTCACATAAATATCTAAAGCTGTTTTACTCCAGTTCAAGGAATTTGTATTTCAAAACCATTTGTATTATAAAGAATTTTATTGTATTTTTTATACTGTAGGACAATTTCTAAATAATTTTGCTAGATTCAATTATTAGAAGTGTTTGTAACAGATGTTTATTTTTATCAATAAATGTTTTTCTATAAATAATGTACAAAACTAACTTTCTTAATATAGATACAGTTAAGTAAATATGTAAATCGCTTTTTAAATATATTCACTTATTTTGTATGTAATGATTACTAAATATGTGTATTGCAAATGGTAAAACATTGCGTGATAATTGATTATTAACGGTACAAAATAATACTGTTATAAACTATAAACAACTTCCCATATTTGCTAATTTTAGTTAAAATTATTCAATACAGGTAAATACAAGTAGAAAGTATGTATTTATTATAATAATAAATCAGATATAGTATTTTTTCAATTGACATATACGTAAAATACGGTCTTACGAAATCCCATAACAAAAAATGGAAATTTATAAAATAAAAATTTTAGCCTTAATTAAGCTTAAAGGGCAGGCCTTATAACCAGTTCTTTAACGATATCGTAAGGTATAGCAAAATCAGTACAATTCATGTGATTATTAGATGCCTGGATGACGTCTATTATGAGGAAAACCAATTTATAATCACTGCTTAATATTGGGCTTATTTTTTAAGTCACTACTGGTTCATGAGTGCCTCACTTCAGTTCACAAAATATATTTATTTCTCAATCCATAACATCATTATATCGCTAGAAAAATGGTCGAAACTGAGAGTGGTAAGTTTGACATCAATGGATACCCAATTTGGTACGAGAAGTTTGGTACCGGTGCTAATATTCTGCTCATGATTCCCGGCGCTATAGGTGCGTAACTTATCGATCAATATATTTATAATTGTATTTGATTTGTACTTGCTAAATGTGTTAATGATGTGTAGGAACGGGTCGAACCGACTATTACGAGCAACTGTTAGGCGAGAATGCATTAGATTTGACTCAGTTTACAGCCTATGCCATCGAGTTGGCCGGTTGGGGTCGATCGCGACCACCCATCAGAAAGATCAACAAAAATGCCTACAATTTTGACGCCGAAACGTGTATCAAACTGATGGAGGTTTGTCTCACTATTAATGGAAATAAATTATTTGTTTGTTTCACTCAATTATTTATCAATTAAATTGATTCACATTTTTATGGCTAGAATTTGGGTCACAAGAAGTTCTTTGTGTTGGGCTGGTCTGAAGGGGCCAGAGTGGCACTGGTATTGGCCGCCATCTACCCCAACCACGTGACTGA